CTCTTAACAAGGAGCTCGGGCTCCTAGTAGGGAGCTCGCTCAAAATAAGGAGCTCGGACCCTTAACAGGGAGCTCGCTCTCAACAAGGAGCTCGGACTAAGTACAGCGGTCTGGAGTTCGGGTTCGGTAGTGAGCTTGGACTTGCTTYCGATATTCGCTTTGGGCGCTCTACTGTCCCGAGCTGCTTGTCTTTGCCACATGTCGGGTGATCGCGAGGTCGGGCCAAATTTCCCTTCATCACTTTCCATAATTTTATGTTTTATACTTTTATTATTGTTGATATCATGATTTTACAATTTCTATATAGGAGATTTATCGTAATTCATAATGGACTGATCATTCTAAACGTTATTTTTTGTTCACTTTTATATTAAAAGAAATAATATATATATATATAAGAACATCAAACAAGCAAAACATCAATAAAAAATATTGTAAAAAAAGTTAAGCTTAAGTGATTAAAAGGATTTGAAAGATTTTAAGAAAACAGGAGAAAGGTTGTGCTGAGCCCAATCTTATGTCAACTTTGGGTTAGGTTAGGGTTGAGGGATTTGAAGTTTTTAAGCTTAGGGCTAGGGGGTTTTGAACCTCAGGTTGGGTTAGGGTTGACCTCAACCTAACCTAACCCTACAAGGCTACAACCTACCTTTTACTCTTAAGCAAAATGAGTCGAACACTTAAGTTAGCATCACAAACACTGAGTCGGACAACATATTAGTTAGCTTACCAACAAATCAATTAATTACATGACGGGGTGATCATGGGCCGAGGCAGGACAGAATGAAACATAAGGCCCAGGTCTATATGAGTCTGATCAAGAAAGGGCTCTGGGCCTATGTCATTTAAATACAATATCTTTTTCTTTTTTTAGTATAACATATCACACCTTACATGGAGATTAAGGGATAGGGACAGAGCAAGGTGCATGTAGGGACGGCAATGCGATAGGTTTGGAGAGGATTTCGTAAATTTTAGATTCTATACATCTCCCTAAACCACCCAATTTGTACCCGTCTCAAATAGTGAGTTGCATTTTGAGAATCCAACCCCTCCCCACACAGAAAAAAAAAACAGTAAAATTTTCAATTATTTGATTAAAACATATAAAAAACACAAAATACGAATTGCCCTTTACATAAATTCAAAATATTATTAAATTTAAACAGCTAATATATAAAGTTTATATGTTTTTCAACAATATGTGGGTTCGGGAGAGTTTGATTTAGCTTAACACCATACCGTACCCATAAGGGTAGTAGAAACCGTCATCCCTAGGTGCATGCCCATAAATCCTACCTTGATCTTCTGCAAGCAAAAAACTTTGCACACATAGTATCGAGTCGCACTTTGAGAGTATCTCCCATACATGTACTTTAAACCTAGGCGAGATGTTCCCAATGTATAACTGGATTCCAATGCTTTTCAGAGTGTGTGCAGAGTTTTTATTTGCAGGGAAACCCATTACACCTCAATATTTAAAAGGATGTTTAAAGGGATAACGATTAACCACTCAGCTACTGGGCAATCAGCAATACATTATTTATTTAATATATATTTTATTGAAGTAATATCATATAATATATACATTTTATGACATTATATATATATATATATATTATACGTTATAAAGAATATAAATAAATGCATTATATGTTCATTTTATAACATTTATGTATAGAGAAATGATCAACCTTATTTCCTAAACCAAACTCATTGTGCAAAGTCATTCTATCCTCAAACCAAGAAGCCTACATCATTTTAGAAAACAACTAAAAAGAGACCCATGCAATTCACAAGCTTGTGTTAAAAAGAATAAAAGATGCCCATGTTACATTCTATTTCTTAAGTAGTTTGGTTGTGGGTGATCTTAAATAACCCCATGTTTAATTATTATTTTAAAAAAATTCAAAAAAGTCACAAAGTTTTAAAGGAATTGGAAGCAATATGAAGAATCTGCCATAAACACTGCATTTTAGAATATAGTATAGATCGAAAACAATCCTTATGTATTATGTATGTACATGAGGGAGTATTAATACCAGCTAAGAAGCTAAGAAAGGAAGGAAGGAAAAAGAAGAATAAAAAAGTGATGAGGAAGAAGAGGTAATGCTCACCGACAATAACAACAGCGGCATGGACGGCAACAGATCTCCCTCTCTCTCTCTCACTGATCTCAGATCTGAGATCTCATATCAGTCCCTCCCCCATCTTTCAATCTCATTCATTTTCTCTTTAATCCTCCCAGCAAACAAAATAAATAATTCTTCATTAAACCGTAAACAGCTGTCCAGGTCAAATGGTTCAGCAGTTCTCTGACCAAATCAATGTTATTCCAAAAAAGTGTTTCAGACTAAAATTGGACCCAGAAATATGACTGGTTCCCGGGTCAAACGGTCCGACCATCTGATCTGGTCAGTTTTTAAAACAATATTCCTTATCAATCCGATTCCATTATAGCAGATTCGAATATCTTCTTATAGATAAACAAATCAAATCAAATCCTAAACTTTGATTCCAATAATTATCGAATCATATTTGAATATTAGCTTATCTGATTCGATTATATTTACATATTTTATATGGTATTATTTACATAGACAATTATACCCCCAACGTGTTTTATGTTTATACAAAATTAACCTTTTTAATTTTAAGCTTATACCCCCCCCCCCAACACCACCCATCTCTTCCGCCTGAGGAACTTGTTTCTTTTTTGCTCTAATCTGAGGCACCTAACACTGATTATATGCTTAATACCTCCGTCAGAGATTAGATTTGCCCACACTAAAGAATGCATGCACATTATTTTAAAAAGTTTAAGCCTTGAGGCGCGAGGCTTGCACCTTGAGGTGAAGTGTATGGATTTTGCTTCAAGGCTTAAGCCACAAGCCTCAAGGCGTATGGATTTTACCTCAAAGCATTAAGCCTGTCTCAGGGCGCAAGGGGTAGCTTGAGGCGTAAAAAGGCATAAGCCTCAAGTATCAATAATTATTAGCAATTTAATGCAAAAAATAATATATATTTGATGCATTTTTATGGTTCAAAATATATAGAAGAAGCATTTCAATAATTATTAGCCAAATAAATAATAAGTAAAAATGAAAAACTAAGAGGGGACGTCAAGTTTTACTAGTTTCTCTTTAACGTGTTAGGAGAGTTCAATGCAACGAGGGCCAATCAAGTTCTTAGTTTCTATTGGATATATCAAATGATTTTTATCCAAGTAAGTTATTTTATTCTTTTAAACTATTGAATGACCACAAATGTAATATCCAATTATATAAATGATTCTTCATATGTTTACTTTCTTCTAAATTGGCCATTTGAATTATTTGAGAACTTTGCATCTTAAAACATGGAATGATGGAAATGTAAAATGCTTATCATTGTTAGTTGATTTGTTATTATTTTATTTAATGCTTAACTGCAAAAACTTATTGCTTATAAACTTTAGTTTTATTGGATATTTTACCTTCTATCATTCTAATATGGTATATTATATGTTATTTTTATCAATTTATATACTTTAATTAATTTTATTCTCAAGCTATGAGTCTTATGCCTTACCTTTTTGGGCCATTATAGCATTATGCCTTAACTATGCCTTTGGCCTTTTAAAACCTTGTGCATATATTGTCATCGGCATCAGATCACCAAGGACAAATCTCAATCTATGCTTGAAGAGTTGAAATTCATGTGTTGAGACATGATG